GTGAAGCCGTGGTTTACAGTGAATTTATAACAGCTAAGGGGCGTTGTTAAGTACGACGCGAAGCGGAGTTAAACAGAGCAAATAAAGTGTAATGATATTAATAAAAACAGTATTCTTCCACCAAACAATGTAGTTCCTCAGAATCAGTTGTGGTTGCAACAAAGTGGTTGCCGAGCAACACAGACGTAAACAAAGGTGTATGTTACTTTGTAGAGTAATTTACAACAGCTTCGAACGTGGCTCAGCCAATCAGAATCAAGGACCGGAACTATCCGTTTTATAATTTGAATTTGACACGTTAAAGTTATGTAATCCTGACAAACCGTTTCAGAGTCTTTCCCCATTTAAGCAGATGAAGCTGTACTTGCATCTTTAGAGATTCACAAACTATTTTGACACGCTCACGGTCACATGACATGCAGGTAAACAAATAAAGCACACATAAACCGGCCTGATGAGGTCTCGAAAGGCCCAGGACTCGAGCGTGGAGATGGGGTTGTAAGAGAGGTTCAGGGCCGTCAGGTAAGCCAGGTTCCTGAAGGAGGCCGATGGCACCGAGCTGATGTTGGTGTTGGTGATGAAGAGCCAGGACAGATTGAGACCCTGGAAGCTCAGCAGCGAGATGTACTCCAGGTACGGCCAGCCGTCGATCTCCAGGCCTCTCAGCGCAGACAGCTTGCGGAAGTTCTGGTCCTCGAGGGCCGAGATGCTGAGGTGGCGCAGTCGCAGGGTCACGAGGTTACGCAGGTAAGACAGAGTCTGGCCGGATACGGACGTCAGGTTGCACCTCTCGATGGTCAGGTCTTCCAGACCGATCGATCAGTCCAAAGCCTTGTGAGAGATGTAGACCAGATCATTGTCACCCACCTGGAGAATGAGGACAGAAGCATTATTATGACTGCAATTAATGGGATTTATATTTTATATTTTTACTGCATCGTGTATTGCAATACATATATATATATATATATATATATATATGTGTGTATGCCTAAAAACACACAAACGTTGTTTCGAATAGCCTCAAGTTGCGTTGTGCACACGACATGCTAATTTCTCGGGCTTGCTGCACTCGTTCGTTAATCTGATCACGTAATCGCAGCAGGCCGGAGAAGGTGCCTAGAAAACCGTTCCTGTAATGCCCATAAAAACTCAATGAGGCCAAGCGCCGACTGAATGCAAGTGGATGATTATGCATAACCTCCATTACATAAAAGTCGTTAATATCTGGCATGCCAGCAGTTTTTCATCTCCACGTAAGAGAAGAATTGACGCGACTGACTGGAAAAGCCAACAGCGCATACTAATACAGTGTTTATCATCCTCACATGTTCTGATAATAGGACAGGCTGCTGATGAATTGCACTCGGCTAGTTATATAACACTTATGCAAGGCTGAAAAACGCCACAAGAAGAGG